GTTTATTAGACTCCGGAATCCACGACATAGGCCGTCAATGCCCATGAAAATTTGTGAGTACATTTCAGGTCCCAGGTCTTTCCGTTGTAGAGCTAGGGCCCTCATGTAAGACGAAAGTGGTTTTGAGGTTATATTGGATGGTAAACAACACTTAACATGTCGTAGTGCCGCTATGACCCGAAGTCTTCTTCTATCTGCGTCCTCTGCGATTATTTGTTTGTCATAAGTAAAGACCATTTCATTCCACAACCATCAGCCGTTAGAAGTCGTTTCGTCCGCCCCGTGTGGGTAACGGCAAGAACAAAAACGCTCTGTATTGTCTACTATCGTCCCACTCTTAAATGGCCGCCTTGCTTCTGGCTGTTTGCAAACATCCTCACTTAACTGAGAAGCATGTCTTGTGCGAACTGCCTTGTGAAATGGCACTAAATACGTGGTGGCTTCTGACTATCAGCCACATGGTATTTGCGTTTTGAAAGATTCTCCGTACTCAAACTGGTCAGAGTTGACTGGGCAAATCATAGGCATTTGTAATTCATTTCCAGCCCAGCTCTCCCGCTTTGATTTGCGCTTATTATATTCCTTATTTTGTCACTTTTATCCTGTATTATGACACTAATATAGCTTCCACGCGCTTACTCCAAATAGAACGCCATTGAATCTCTATTTTAACACGCAAAGTCAAGACCCATGTGAGGCGGCCGTAGCGCATTTAACTTTTGTTGACGTGGGATACTAACAGCATAACTCCTTCACCGCCCCACGCGCGTTTCTTTTTAGTTATTTCTCCAGTGGCGCATGCGGACACCTACATGACACCGGCCAAGTCAATCAAGTTACAGTATCCTGAGATGAACTCCAACGGCACAATGACCCAACCTCATCAGTTCTCCTGTGGTGATCAGCTCTTTGTTCAGAAACCCGAACTAACAGAATTTATGGCCGCGCCATCGCAGCCACCGCAGAACACTGTAGAAGGGCATTTTCAATCACAACCGCCTTCCTATTGTCATATGTTCTCGCACCCCGCAACAGCAACAACAACTTCAAACTGCAGTGATGAAAATAGTCGGTCCTGCTACACACCGCCAAGCTCTATTGCCCCTTCCTTCTGCTCAGCTCCTGGCCCCTCATCTCCAAACTCTGTTTTCTCATTTAATCCGCCGCGGTCTCTCATTGATATCAGTCAGCAGTTTTCGTGGCCCGAACAAAATCGAGACGTGGTGGCCAATTCCTGTATTTCCTCAGAACCGGAATATGTAAACAGACGCAAGGTCAGTAATGAATACTTAGGTCGCCGCGATCATCAACCAGCACTCAGCAGTGGCATTCCAGTAGGGCGTTCGGGTAAGAATTCCTCCCCCTCTCTCTCTTGCTTCCCTTTACCATTCCCTATGATCCTGACTTCTTGTCTGACGTAGCCTGAATACTGGGTGACACGCGGAAGCACTCTTTAGAAATCAAGAGAAAGTCACCCTATTAGCCAATATGGCAGATTGCTGCGCTCTGGCATTATTGTGTCTGCCCAATTCTTCGCCGTCGGTTCTTTTTTTTTAATTTAAGCTTCAGTTCACTACAACTACCTTTTCGGCAGCCTCTCCGCTTAAGACCGAAAACGTTCTGTAAGACGTGTTTGATGGTTCAGCCGTCTACTTCCCTCCCCTCCCTTGATGGCAGACAGCTATCATTTTACTGGCTTCCCCCCCCTCCATTTTGACGTCTTAGATTATTCGCTGAATCCTCGTGCAGTTAGCTCCCGGCCGAGCAGGTGATGCAGTCCTCGCGCTTTTTGTCAGGATTTCAAAAAGGCGAACCCGAAATTCCACTCCACCGTCTCTGTTACTACCCAGCAGTGACAGTCCGAGCGTCGCCGTCATCATCATCATCATGCTAATATCCCCACCATATGTCCAGTAGCCTGAGGCAAGGGTTGGTTTTCTACAGTTTTCGGAGTTAACGTTAAACGTCTCCCCACCGTTGCCTTACAGCGCTTCAAGGTTCCAGGGTCTCTGTTTGTGATAATGCTGGTGACGAGTTTCATCTCTAGTAGAGTTTATAGTTATTGTGGATTGGGTGTCGAGATCACAGGCTACCTGCCCGCAGAATATCCCCCACCCAGTGCCCAAAGCACAGGAGGTGACCCAATTCTTTAAAAAAATGTCCGTCATATTTAGGCGACAGAAGCTTGGCGATGGTGTTCGATAACGTGAATTCTGCATTGTATGACACCCACGACGCCGCCTTACCTTACAAAAAAGGCTCTTTACCGACCGCTTGAAACCCACAGACTACGTTTGTATTTAAAGGTCTCGATGGCTACAACCGGCCTACTGAACCCCTTCCATCAAACCGAAGTTATCTACTGCTGGGTTGACTCAGTGCATGCGTTCATAGACTGCTTTGTTTGTGACACGTTAGTAAGTGGTGACCTGGGACTGGTGCGCTGAAGTGCCCTGGAACAGTTACGAGACAAGCACAGTACTGTTGTTTACTTGCCGCCCTGGTTTCAACTTTAAAAAATAGCAACCAGCATCTCAATTGCAAGCACGCGTAACCTTGTTTTATTTCTAGTTGCTTCCGCCTGTGATTAAGTACATCCGCGCTGCCTCAAATACCGTCCTCCTGTTTCATTGGCGGCCCTTGAGAAAAAACATCTTTCCATGACCTGCTAAAAAGAGACTTCAATCGATTGTCTTGTCAC